GAAATGTACATATAAATCTGTGACTTGGATTCTATCAAAGTTTGTGTAGCTCTTGATGACCAAGATTGTATACTCAATTTCTTTGTTGATTTGAATTACGAAACTATATTAAATTTTTCTCTATTTCCCACTTTAATTATGGAACGTTATCAAAATATAAGAATACGTAGAGAACAATTGCAATAAAATATCTCTTACTTTAATTTTTTCGTTACTTTTTGAAAGTTTGATTGTGTTCCCCAACATAAAAAGTCTGCGTCCACCCCTAGTTAGCACGTACGAAGCCAATTGCTCAAAAGTCAACTGGCAGAAACCACCCAAGAAGTAACCTCTGATTTTTCTACTACAAACTTATGCTTGTAAAATTAGATTTCTATATGCATATGGAATTTTCATTACAAATAAATATTAAGAATTGTGGAATTATGCCTTTCGGTATATTGTTCATAGTTCGGTGTAGTGGGGAGATAGTATTCAGTTGCGCAGAGAGAGTGGGTGATGGAAAAGCAGCGGTGTCAATATTGGAAGCAGGTTTTGGTGGACCAAGATAGGAATTTAAGGCTTGTTGGAAAACCCTTTGTCCGACTTGATTAATTGCCCTTTGCTGTATGGCTAAATTAGCAGTTGGAAGACTTCAAAGAAAGAAGAGGTAAAAAATGGGTGTTTGGAAAGAATTTATTGGTATGAAAGTAAAATAGGTAAGAGATACGAGGAGCATGAGGTGTCAAAGAGGATAAAATGACTTGTGATGACTGATGAAGGCTTGAAGGGTGGAAAGGGTGAGTATGAGACGGTACTTTGGTGTTTTAGTTTCTTTCAAATGTTTGTAACGTGGTTTGAACTTAATTTAGACATCGAAAGTTGGAGTGTGTCCATTCCAGCAATTTACGATTTCATATGAAATTGTACTTGTTTGAACATAAAAATGTCCATTCCAACAATAATATTTTTCATCACATCAATAATTTTTTTTTTTTCAATCACATATTTCCAATTACATGAAAAAAAAGAACATTGATATACTCACGGAAAAGAGGTGGGGTGGGTTGGTTCACATGTACAGACAATGCACGAGGGGGTGGTTTTTATTATTTTTATTTTTTAATTTAGTGGATCCCACACATTTGTGAGTATTGGTAAAAAAATACAGAAAAAACAGTCTTGTACAAACATAAAACCCCAAAAAAAAAATTGCATTCTTAACTACAAAATGTGCACCAAACAAGGGCTTAGCTCATGTTTGGTATTGATATAAATCATATTTTAATTTAAATCAAAGTTAAACAATTAATATTAACTACGTATTTTATGATTCTCACGACTTTTTAATCACACATTTCAAAAACTTTTATAAAGATCTAATTTTAATACCACCAAAGAGGGGCTTAATAGACTATTTAAAACTAATAGGTTGAAGACAATTTGCGACAAAATTACATCTAGATCAATAGGCTGGGGATTGTGTATTAAAAACATCCATGTACTCCCCAATCAATGATCTAAATGCACGTATTTCCTAAATCAACACCACACATTACAACCAACGAACGATGTGTTGCAAAGATAACCTTGTAATGTAACTAACTCACTACGATATCTAATTACTGCCCAGAAAAACATGATATTGAGAATATGTAAAGAGTACAAAGTTAACATTATTTGGTTTGGTTGACAACATGTGTGAAAACAGTTAATTAATTCCTTAAATCTTAGATAGGTAAAAAAGTTAACAAAAGCTTAGTTTTGACTCTAATCACACTTTACGTTTTTTACGTATAATCTATTAATCTTTATCATGCCGGTTTAGGCACGTAAAAACTTGAAAGTAAGTCACTCATTTACCGTAAGAGAAAGGTTAGGTATGCACGAGCTTTGCCCGCTCCCCAAGTACACCTCTGCTCTGGTATGATTATATAAACCTATATTGCCCTCTGAGAGAATTCCCGGCTCTTAATTTCGTCACAGAAAAATGGCAACAACCACCCTAACAGCACTAGCACAAAAGAAAACCCTGCAGCAGAAATTCATCAGAGATGAAGACGAGAGGCCAAAGGTGGCGTACAACGAGTTTAGTAAAGATATTCCGGTGATATCTCTTGTAGGACTTAATGAAGCCGGCGCCCGGAGAGCGGAGATATGCAAGAAAATAGTGGAAGCCTTTGAGGATTGGGGAATATTTCAAGTGGTTGATCATGGGGTTGATTCTAAACTCATTTCTGAAATGACTCGTTTGGCTCGTGATTTCTTTGCTTTGCCGGAGGCGGAGAAACTCCGGTTTGATATGTCCGGTGGCAAGAAAGGGGGTTTTATTGTGTCCAGTCACCTTCAGGTAGTTCTAACATGTCATTTTCCACTTAGTACTTTTCAATTTTTGTAGGTAAGTTAATGCAATCTTTGCATGGTTCTTGAGACCACAACTATAATTTTCCCTTCACAGGGTGAAGCAGTTCAAGATTGGCGAGAGATTGTGACATACTTTTCATACCCGATCAAGGCTCGTGACTATTCTCGGTGGCCGGACAAGCCGGAGGGATGGAGATCGGTGACGGAGGCTTACAGCGAAGAGTTGATGAATTTGGCCTGCAAATTACTGGAGGTTTTATCAGAAGCAATGGATCTTGAAAAGGAAGCACTCGCCAGAGCTTGTGTTGATATGGATCAGAAGGTGGTTGTCAATTTCTATCCCAAATGTCCACAACCGGATCTCGCACTCGGACTCAAGCGGCACACGGATCCGGGTACCATTACTCTACTGCACCAGGACCAGGTTGGCGGGCTTCAAGCCACCAGGGATGGTGGCAACACATGGACTACTGTCCAGCCTGTGGAAGGAGCTTTTGTGGTTAATCTTGGTGACCATGGCCATGTAAGTATTGTCATACTCGAGTCTTTTGCTTAAACACTTGAGAGTTTTATAGAGCAAATGACAATAATCCATGCGTAATCACATGTGCAGTACCTAAGCAATGGGAGGTTTAAGAACGCAGATCACCAGGCCGTAGTGAACTCTAATTACAGCAGATTGTCAATTGCAACTTTCCAAAATCCAGCACCAGAGGCCATAGTTTACCCACTCAAGGTCCGAGAAGGGGATAAGCTAGTTCTCGATGAGCCCATCACGTTCTCCGAGATGTACAAGAGGAAGATGAGCAAGGATCTTGAGCTGGCCAGGCCGAAAAAATTGGCTAAGGAGAAACAGTTGCAGGAAGAGGAGCTGAAGCAGGAAACTAATGTGAAACCCAAATCTTTTGAAGAAATTTTTGCTTGAAGTTAGACAAAAAATGGGCAGATTTTTCTGTTCTAAATTGCTAAATCCTTGGTTATGGTAATCAAATTAGTTGTAACAACCATGTTTTGGTTGTTGGTTTGTATTAATAATATCCTCTTGTCCCTTATACAATTGGATCAGTGTCACACTTGGCTTACTGCATAACAAAATTGCAATAGGTGCATAAAAATCTTCTTTAAATTCGTTACCAGGAACATGATCTAGACAAGATCTACAAAGAAATATTATTCAATCCAACATACCAAACTTACAATTAAATTTGCCAGAGACCAAATTAGCCTAACCAAGCACGAATGAGTGGAAGATTGATAAAAGGAAGAGAAGCAGCCTCAATCCCATCTTGATTTTTTCAACTTTTTTCTTAAAGGCTAAATAAGATTCAAAAGACAATAGCTTGAATTCGATATAAGTTTCAATAGACAATAGCATGATGAAAATGCCGTAAAATGCTAGTATTGGCAAAGTTCGGGTTCTTTTTCTCATGTACAACCCCATCTTCTCTCAAAATATCCTGGCTGGAGACTTTTGAATGCTGTAAGGATGAAAGAAAACTTTTTGGGAACCAGGCCACGGATGTGTATATATATATAGGAAAAGGCATAATTAATTTTGTGTTTGGATTCATATATGTATTTACACTCTAAAGAGAATATTTGATACGAAAATGGGAGTTCTTTCCATGCAAAAGTCGTAATTTAAAGAAACCTTCATATGGAAAGGCCAATTTTTTCTATAGATGGATTTTTTATGTCGGCATCACCATCGGTGGCATAGCCATTGAGTAACATTTAATATCTTGCCATTCAGAAATTTGAAATGGTGAAATGCTATATTTGAGCACCTCATGGCTAAAAGAGGGTGCACACATCTACACAATTATATTTTTTAATTGTTAGAAGGAGATTAGTTAATAAGAACTTGAGTTTGAGATCTTTTGCAGTGAGACCTACTTATGCTCATAATGTAATGGCATATGTGTTTGCTTATAAAATTGCTCAAACTAAGCGCATTAAAGCTTTTACAATTTGCAAAATAAGCTACAATCTTTCAAAAGATTTTACTGTATGTGTCTACTATTGGTATATGCTCTTGAATCTTCATAGGGTAGATTAGAAGCACAGAATCCATTTAATCTATCGCTCAGTTTAGTATAGACGTTGTCATCTCAGGTGTATGCAGTGGCGGATCCAGGATATCAAGTCAGTTAGGGGCAATTGTTGATAACTGTAATAATAATAAAAATTATTAATATTTAATTAAATAATGTTAAAAAATTTCAATCAATATATAAAATACATTAAAACGTAAAAAAACTCATATATATTTGAAAATATAATCAAATAAACCTAAAATAATAATAATAAATACAGTTTTCAATCGTATATGTACGATCAAGTTTCAAGTTCTTAACGAACTCAAATAAAATAGTTTACATATAAAATATAATTAAATGGTAAAGACA